TTTTTTTTTTTTTTTTTTTTTTTTTAATCGTAATCAAACGCGTAATTAATCAATACGTATCGCGGCGCCGAACGTAATATTATTTCTGTTGTTATTGTTGTTATTATTATTATACTATAACAGTGCTAGAGAAAAATAACAAAAATCAGTGCCGTACTGTTATAGCATAATGACGACGGCGCACCATTAACGCGTAATTCGTCGAGTGCGCCTTTTATGTTGTTATTACGTGTATTTGCGTGGCCGTTTATAACGGTTATTCGGCGGCGAGGGGAGCGGCCCGGAGCAACCGGTAACCTATTGCGAAAACATCGCCGCGCGGATCGGGATCGAAAAGGGCGACCCTCCGGAGGCTTTTCCCACGTTCGCGCCGCCGGTTCCCACCGCGCACCCTGTCGCAATGCGCGCTCGTATGCGATATTGTTGTGACGTTCGATTTTTTTTTTTTTTTTTTTTCCATTACACCCCGCAATAATAACATGTTCGTTGTTACGAGCAAGTGAACGCGCGTGACGCTGCTGTACACAATATTGTTATAGCCTATGTGCATTTGGTTTAGATTTGCGAGAAAAAAAAAAAAAAAAAAAACCGACCGCCCGGCGATAAAAATGAATTTCCCGTAAAAACCGCGAAGACGACCGAACGGGTCGAAAAAAAAAAAAAATAAAAAATAAAACCGTAAATCGTAAAAACCGTATTTACCGTAATCCATTTCTTCTTTGATGTACTTGACGAAATGCACCGGGCGCTTTTTCAACGGGCAGTGCGAGTAATCCATTTTCTTCAAAGGCTGCTGCGGTTGCACTTTGTGCTGCATCGTGGTGTCGGGCGATGGCTTGTCGTCCCAAATATACATAATAATACGTTTGTTTCGCGGTGTATTTCACGTTACACAATATTATACGGACGATTTTCCAACCGGCGTATCACATAAAATAATAAAAATCGGGGAGAAAAAAAATGAAGAGACTTTTAAAAATAAATCGCGTAAAATAGTTCGATGATTTTTTTTTTTATTATAATTCGTACGTAGACGCGCAACGATAGAGACGACTGTGGTCCGTCGACGACGGCCGTGCGCGGTGTAATGCCGAGTTACGGGTGGTGTACGTGATGCACCGGCGTCGAACTCACTGGCCGTGCGGCGGCGGATCAGGTACACGCAGCAGACCGGTGCCGAAGAGAATGCGCGTCCCAACGGCGCTCGCTGGATGGTGGTGCCCGTACACCGTATACGCGGCCCCCCACCACCGAGGCACCGTTGTCGGCGGCGGCGGTTGCGGCGGCCGCCGCGACGGCGGCAACGGCGGAGGGCGAGAGACGGGACAGGTGTGCCCGCAGAAACGTCCGCACGTGCTGGCGGCCCCCGACCAATCCGGCCGGCGTACATGGCGCGGACCAATGGCGCGGTCCGTGCCCCTCGCCCATGACCGCGTTCCGGCGGCTGCTGCGGCGGTCCCCTTCCGAATCCGGTTGTTCCGGTCTCGCGGCGGCGGCGGCGGCGCGGACGCGTTTCAACGGTAAAACCGACCAGCGAATAATGTGTTACGCGTCGCGGTGTAGACGGCGCGGTCGCTTCCCGGCCGTCGTCTGCCGACGGTTTCGTCGCGCGCGCGCACCGTTAGGCCCGGTCCGCGTTGCGCTACGGCTTTCCAAGTCGACGTGTTTGTGTTGTACGCGACAAAAGTCCCCGTCGATCGGAAAGCGGATCGCGCGTCGCTTTCGTTGCGCCGACGTTCGTTCGACTGGAAAAGCCGTCATATCGTGTCGGCTCAGTGTGGACCGGGGGCTCGCGGGGGCAGATAATTTACTGACGCGCGCAAACGTTTCGCGACGCGTCGTGTATGACGACGTTCCGACGGCTTCCCGCGTTTCGGCGGAGGCGACGGGCGAACCGTTTCGGCTTTTGAAACCGGCGTGTGAGCGTGCGCAACAGGAGGGCAACGGTAGCCAAACGAGGGACGGGCGGGAAACGAGGAGCGATGCCAAACGGAAAACGAAATTTAAAAACTTATTTGTAATAATACATCTGCAGCGCGTGTCCCCACCCAACGTGTTTGACGGAATTTTCTCGCGCTGTTGATATTGAATTTTTTTCGATTGTTTTTTTTTTTTTTACATTAGGTTTGTCTTCGATCGAAGGATACGTCATCTTGGAGAAAAATTCGATTTTTATTTTCATCTCCTAAAAAAAAAAAAAAAAATAATAATTTTAATTAATTATTCACTTTAGAAAATTTTCAAAATAGCCATTTTGTAAAACAATTTTAATGTATCACACACTCATATCCGATGAATAATTTCTCAATTATGACCGTTTTAATTAAGCGTGAAAACAATTAATATCCAATAAAATAACACGTTATGTGATAACGAATTACAATCGGCTCGGTAATTCTTCGCCTTATTCTAATGAATATTAATTGTTTTCACGCCTATTTTCTATAGAAATTAAAACGGCTTAGGTATTAAGATACTATTAATCGGATACGAATGTACGTTAAACTTTTCAGAATAATGTTTCTTACAAAATGGCTATTTTGAACATTTTCTAAAGTGAATAGATAATAAAGTTATTATTATTATTATTTTTTTTTTTTTGGTGATTGTTTAGGGAATGAAAAAAAAATTGAATTTTTCTCCAAATCGATGTCCTCGTTGATGACAAACCGATTGGAAAAAGAAAAAAAGAAATCGAAAAAAATGTGATGTTAACAGCGCTGGAAAAATTCATCGAACACGGCGGGACACGCTGCAGTATACTTGAAGGGGATCGGGCGCGACGATTTGTTGTCTTTGTTTTGATGTAGACGCGTTTCCGACGGTACCGCGATCGCGGTCTACGGTGAACCGATACGAATTCTGAACACACGTTTGGATTCGTCGTCGAGTCCACTCGAGATCGTGGCTTTCGCATTTTGTTTAGAACGTTAAGAGCAGACGACCAAGGCCGCAAAATGAAAGCGATAGTTATTTAGGGAGGCGAGAGTGCTCTGTAAAGGGGAAAATAGGGTGCTTGTGGATATTATATCCTCTTCGCGTGATCCCGCGGAGTCGCCGGACGGCGGTCACAATAATCGATTAAAACGTTCCGTGACTTGTACTAGCGTACGTATTTAACGCTTCGAAAACGCGCGCACTGAAAATAAAACGGGCACGCGGTGTAATATCATTTGATTTAGGAAAGAAAAAAAAAAAAAAAAAAACGTCGAACCATCGAATGCAATCAAATGCGTGCTATCACAGCTGCTAAACGTCGGAGCTAGCTGCGTTCGAGGACGGAGTGGTCCGAAAAGAGCGGTGACGCGTACGCGCGTCGCGTGCTGCCGCGGGGTCCTCGGCAGAACGATCGTCCCGGGATCTCTCGAGTTCGTCAACGCGCCCGATGTTAATTAATAATTAATAATGTTCGTTAAGGTCGTCCGTACGTACAAAATCGATTTTAAAATTTCGTACGTATAATAATCGCGGACGCGTCGTAAAACTCCATTTGTATTTCGAACTGTTGTGTTGGCCGGTTCTGCCGGAGATAAACGTGCGTGTGCCTACGGGATACTGTGCCGATCCCTATTCCGAACACGACGTTAAAGACGTTATTATTCGTGAGCTGATACGGGACCCCCCGGTGGGCCTTGGCGTCGGTGTCGATGGACAGATAACCGCGACAATAACGAAATCGTGTTTATCGGGTTGTCGGAACACAATACAAGAATCGTCTGAGTACATACGAATATACTCGGAGTGCGGTCGCGGCGGCGGCGGCGCGGCAGCGTCCTCAAAGGGCCGACGCCGATGTCGTAAATTTCCGCTC